ACACTCACTCACTCTCACTCTCTCTATCTCACACACACACACGCACTCTCTCGCTCTCTCTCTCTCTCTCTCTCTCTCTCTCTCACGCACACGTGTTCAGTCATCCAGTGCTGTCATTCCGTGAGGACTAAATCAAACAACACTGCCACCTTGTGCCTGCTCCATATGCAAGGCATTATACAGAGCCTAAAGTCAGGAACAGCAACTGTCCACATAAAATTCATATTTTAATTTTCATGTGCGCATGTGTCTGGCGTTTGCTGGTGTAGCTATGTATGTAAAACGTTTCTTTAATAGCGATAACATCACATATTTATGTCAAAAGCATCTCTTATAGCGTTCTCATCATATATATTAATATATACTGATTTGAAAAAAAATATTCACAGTATTTTATTATGCGTGTATGGTGGCTTTTACTAATTAATATTAATGATCAATTCATTATTAAAAATAATACAATTTTTAAAAGGCAATTACAGAAACACAGTCCGTCTACTATTTTTTTTATTTGTTTTATTGTCATCTTATCTCATGGTAATGAAACAGTACTGACAAACATGAAGCTTTAGATTTAATAGCCCGTGAGTTATGCATGTTAATAGCATGAGATATCATGTAAATAAAGTCCATTGGTAATCTGCCAAATCGAAAAAAATTAGCTGCGATCTTCCGTCACGGGCCTCTTGAAATCCACATATGAGGCTGGAATGGGGGGAAACAAAACAAACAAAACTGTCATTAATAAAACCAGTTATTATGTGGTAAAGACAAACATTGTTTTGTAATGGAATTGTTAAAATAACAATTTTTTTACTGTGTTTATTTGTGACATTAGAAGTGTGTTATTAACACAGCGAACTTTTATCAATCAATCAAACTTTTATTACAGACTCGAGGTCCAAAATAAAATAAAAAAAGACAATAGGACAACATATACAACCCATAGCATACCACACACAATAACGATTTACAAAATACAGCAATACCAATGTCTCCACAGCTTTGACTGATACCGTGTAGTACTAACCCTTATATTTGATAGTTCCACAATAATCTCATTTTTTTTAAGCATTAAGACGGCATATAAATCTATACATATGATTTCGGAACAGTGCTTTAAAAGTGATTACTCTTGCACTCACAAACATTTCACTTGCACTATGCATCTAGGTCTCTTTAGTAAAATTCTCATTGCATCATTATAAGCTTCTGTAAATTAGATGTTCTATAGTTGAACCACAAATGAGCAGCATAAAGTGTTGTACAGTATGCTTTAAAAAGTGACACCTTCACCTCATCTGAACAGAATCTAAACTTACGTAAAAGTATATTCTGCATATACATCATGCGGCGTTGCCTTTCAATATCCTCATCGCCTGTCATGCGTTCAGTGATAAAAATGTCCAAGGTATTTTACTTTCGCACACACAATGAGACTCTTATTAGACAACTTGAAAAATAAAGAAAAGATATTTTATAAAAAAAGATCGTCTCTTTCAGAGTTTGTGTGAACTCATTTTCTTATTAAAGCTTGAGTGGTAATTTATTAAGGCTGAATGCTTCTGTGTGGGCTCGCATATGGTTCGTCGAAGTGCATATGTATTTGTGTGTAAGTGAGGGGCAGAAAGCGAGTGGAGGGCGGGGTTGTTCTACTGTGAGTTTCTTTGCCTCGGGATAATGACTCTCTTTTGTTTGCCATTAAAAATTGAGTCTATTTAACTAATCCTTATGTCTGTACATATAAGGTGCATAAGATTTATTCATTTGTGTATTGCGGTTATTCTTAATGTTGATAGCAAAGTTCTAAACAAGTTTATGAAATTGACACATTTATTACCATCTGACTATCATTTGTGTAAACTTTGAGCCAGTCTCGTGTCTGCCACCGCTATTGAATTTGAATCATAGAAGGCATAATTCAGAATTGCCACGAAAATGAAAACAAATTCCAGGCGAACTTTCAATTCCAAACATTTCCTTACAAGAACCGCAGGGCAATGTGAGTTCGCTCTACTTCAAAACATCTTATTCATGGAGGTCATTACGCGGCCACATAATTTCACAGAATGATCTTGTGCTAGTTAAAAACCAAAATGCCCCTTCGGGTCGTGTGCTTAGCTGCACATGAAGCTATGTTTCAGCTGTCACGTTACTATTATGGATTTTGTTTTTGCATAGATACATCGACAAAGATGACAGGGTAGGAAAGTTGGGCTTGGATAAGAAAGCTAGAAGACACATCGCTGGAATTTGCAATTGTGAACATCCGTTACAAATAAATAGGCCAATGATAACATTCATTTAACTCTCGAGAATGTGCAGACTAGGCCATTACCGAGCACAGTTAGGATGTGCGTTGCTTGCTTTTTCCCAGATCATCATATCACGTAAATTAAGCATTGGAAGTAAGTACGATTTTGGCGCACATTAGTGCCTAGTTTCGTCGAGTGTAAAGAGAATACAGGCCAAACGGGATGTCTATTTATTGCCTCTTCAAACGCTAAAACACAACCGTGCGATTTGTCTTAAGGGCTGCAATAAAACACTTAAAGCTCTTTCTCTCCAGTCACATCAACATACCAACTGCAGACTGAGTGTGGTGTGTTTTACTCGCTACTTCATTCACAAGACTGATGCTGTAAAATGGATCACATTATTAAAAATCTCCCCATCAAAGACTTTAAGTTCAAAGTCGTTGGAGCAATATTGAACATCAAAGTCAGATATATAAATACAGCCTACACTTAGTACCTGATCTCAATTCCGCTAAACACGTCGCAGTGTCTAGCGAAAACAATTAAATTATTTAAGAATTGATAATCCTTCTTTAGTTTGCTTTCAGCATCGTACTTTCCTGTTAAATATTTTTGCGCATCCACTGGCATATACTAGCCTAATGAAAACGTTATTTTTAATTAAATATGTATTGATGTGAAAAAAAGTTTATTACATTTCAAATATTTGAATTGGCAACTGTTCAATTTCCACAGTCTTAAAAAGGCTATGAAATATGGTAAAACGAGAGCACGCGCTTTTCACGCAAGAAATATTTTTTATTACTGTTATATGTTACTTTTATTAGTTTCTTTCCACAGTATACATGGTTTAATATTGTATAATTGAAATCCACACCAACGTATTGACTAGCCTATATTTACTGTATTAATTTTGCGGACCGTAATTTATGTTTTTTATTACTTTTATGGCATTCTTATTTAATACATTTTTATAATAATAATACAACTACTAATTTTAGTATAAACGTCAATTAGTTCACTTCCGAAGATAAATAATCATATTATGCAGCAGTCATAAACTGACGAAATAGCACTTACCACATTGATGTTTAGATATCCACTTAGTAGAGATTTGACTAGAAGAGTTACATTTTGTCGATCTCAAATTTTGTTCAAAATATGACAACCCATCAAAAACATTAATCCTTGATATTGATTGATCCCGGTTTTAGGTACTTTGGGATATAATATTGTAAGCATTTAATCAGTCGTTAAGAAGATTAGCCTGTTTTATAGCTGCTAAATGCCTTTTCTCACTGTCGGGCTGGAAGTAAATTTTACTGCTCTGTCAATCTCGTGTTTTGCGCACCTCTTTCTAAACCACTGTTTTTGGCCTCACACGTTCCGTCATGTGGCCTGCATTAAGGTCATGGAGCATACCGTAACCATTCGGTTAAAACTAGTTCTTTTCCCATCACTGATTCTTTGAACATAATAATATAAATTGACAATTCAATTAATATAGTTGCAAACATTTAATAAAGCAGAACAGTTATATTTGTATTGTTCAACAGATTGTTGGCATATATGATCACTGCACGAAATTCTGTACAAATAATACTTATAAATAAAATTAATAGTCAACAGTACTTAAATTGTGTAAAGATGTCTCATAGTATTATTTTTATTAATAATCATTCTGCATAACCTAGAAAGTTAAATGCTAAAAAAATGTGCAGCTTTCAGTCCACAAGATAAGAGACTCGGTGCACAGCCCCCATACATTCAAAGGGATAATTGCCTCAGAGCTGGAAGTCCTCAGTTGGTTTTGTGACTTTTATGGCACCAAGGCGCGTTTGACGCATTCTTTAGTAAGATGCCCCTTCCCCCCTCCTTACTCAGGTTCTTTTTACCATTGAAATGATCAATACTTTACAAATGGGGAAAGGAAAAGGACAGACGTTTCCCCTTCAGTGCAATGAAAGCTCGAGGAAATTGAAGAGAGACACAAACGTTATAGGGAGATATCTACTGAATAACAAAAAGAATAGTGTGGTCCCTTAACTTAGTGACTGACGACAATGCCGTGAATATGTCTAATAATATGATATGAAATGTGCATCAGCAGATTTATTCACAATTTTTTTGAATGAAATTGCGAAATGCATCTTAAAATGGAGAGTTAACAATATATGCGTAGATAACGCGTAAACAGGCATGTAGCAATTAGCCCTTGGTCATTTTCTTTTTTTTTTTTTTTACACAAAGGGTTATATTTAGGGGTTCAAATTGAGTTATATCATCTACCCAGTAGTTATAATTAAGTTGTTGCGTCGAGAAGAAATACATTTACTTATGATTAGTATTATCATGTTGTAAAATATAAATATATTTAGTTTGGTCTAAGTCAGCGACAATAATCAACTGTAAAAGCGATCTTACAGGTAATAAATTTCGATGAAAAAGCTCATTGTAAAACGCATGATTATAAGTGTAGATTTACCTTCACAATACACGTTGAGAAGCTTTGTACCGGCACATAGAACAGATTAACTCTGTGATTAATGCACAAAAAGACATATCTCATTGTTCGTGTAAGTGCCTATTCTGTTTTTGTGTGTGTTTACTTAAACATTATCAACTGAAGCCACAAGGATAGGAAGCTACAAGCTCGATATTCCTCCGTACACCGCGCATTCAATTGGCTGAAAGTGGTCAGGTGACGCTGTCATATTGTCCTTCCATGAGCCAAGCCTTGGCTATAACACTTGCTTTGCGCGTCTTAACCGGAGACTGGAAATTAATATTATTGAAATCCTTCTGAAGTTCATTTGAAAGAGAGTTAGGAAAGCAGGCGGGAGACGTGTGTATGTGACAGAAGGAAGCAGACCCCAAAGCATAAAGAAAGAAAGTGTGAGATTAAGAGAGGGGAAATAAGATAGGAGGGTGAGTTGATGAGAGGGCGATAGGAAAGGTATGAATTCGTATTTCGCGAACCCGTCGCTCTCGTGCCATTTATCTGGTGGGCAAGAGGTTTTGCCCAACATGCCACTGAACACGACCACATATGATTCAGTCAGACATTTTTCGTCTTATGGCACCACAGTAGCCCAAAACCGGATTTATGCGTCCCCTTTCTATTCACCTCAAGATAACGTTATGTTTGGATCAAGTCGAGGACCGTACGAGTATGGATCTAACGTGTTTCTTCAAGATAAGGATGTGCTTCCCAGTTGCAGGCAAACTAGTATGGGACTCAATGCGCAGAGCCACGTTGCCCAGGAGTACAACCTGGAACAAGCTCGTGCAGGAACACTGGAACAGAAAGGGAACAACATTCAGATCTACCCGTGGATGCAGCGCATGAACTCGCACAACGGTGAGTTTTTACTGCGACTTGGGACATACCCTGGTGGAATTGGTCTGTTTTACGATACGTCCTATCAACAGAGTAGCCACATTTTATGGCCTCATAAACCACTACTAAATCATCAGACTATAAAGCCCCCTTTTTCGGAGAGGGGAATCCCATTTGGCTACCTCCTTTAATACTCTAGTGCCAGAATTATTAAAAAACCGTGTGCAATAAGTTAGAAAAATATACAACAAAAAGTACATTTTATGTGAGCATGCACTACTACGTTAAAATATAACTGAACTCTTCTGATGTACTGTTTTAAAAAAGACGATAGCAAAGTTAGTTGAAAGAAATGTTTAGAAACACTGAAAATCGAAATGTTACGTTTCGCGTTGCTTTGTGACTGTAATATCGGTTGAAATACATTATTTTGCCAAATTGTTATATTAGTTACGTTATAAATTAAATAAAAATATAAATATGCAAAAAGTGAATTATTCCACCAGGATTTCAAACATGTTTTTTAAATATACATTTAGATTTTAAATTTATAATTAAGGATTTCTCTGTGTGTGAATTCTTTAATTTATTTGCACTTTTCCCCACAACAGGAGTTGGGTACGGGTCAGACAGAAGAAGAGGTCGCCAGATTTACTCCAGATACCAAACATTGGAACTGGAAAAAGAATTTCACTTCAATCGGTATTTAACCAGACGCAGACGCATCGAGATCGCCAACGCTCTGTGCCTAACCGAGCGTCAAATCAAAATCTGGTTTCAGAATCGGCGCATGAAATGGAAGAAAGAAACCAATCTAACTTCTACTGTACCGGGGAGCGAATCGACGGATACTCCTCAAGAGCCCGAGAAGGAGACCGAGGAGGAAACCGAGGAAGCTAAAAAAAAAGTTTAGGAAATCCATTTCTCGTTCTCGAACGCCTGTTAACTGCAACGTAACTACCTAAACTCTGAGAATTTGCAAATATTAATGCATGGACTGTATACTCTGCTATTCCTTCGACTGCCCCCTCCTCCTACGACCTGAATACCATACACAAACTCTAATACAACACCACGCCACTAACATATACACACGTAGAAACAAATGGAGAGATTAAGAGAGAGAAAGACACATGTTATCCACCGTAATGTAATTCACTTCTCTTTGTATTGAAAATAGCTCCTTACTGGCTGCGTGGTGACAATGTCACAGATGAACTATTTGTGTGGTTCTAGAATTATCATGTTGCTATAGGCTCGTAGAAATTACATTAGATGAAAATGTACTCGAATTTGATAAGTAGGCTACGTCTCCCCAACTATTTAGCCTCTAAACAGAACCCTAAGCATTCCAGAAGTGAAGGAAACTTCTTATATGCACATTCAGTTTTTTTGTGGATGCATATTTGTACAATGAAATAAGCACTGACGGGATGAACTATACTACCTAAATTCTTAATGCAATTTTTTTTTCTTTTCCTTAATATTGCCTTTGCCTCGTCAGTGTTTTGTTGTTCAAAATGCCGCTGTACTGGCACATTACTTGAGAGAACTTGAGAGAACTTCAAAAAATAAATTTCATCATACTTGTAGTTGTATGCATATAAACTTGTCTTAAAGTGAGAATCACACCCATATGAAAACAAACATATACCTTGTTACGCAATTATATTGTTTGTGTAAACTGTATATTATTTAATAAAATTTTTGGGAAAAAAAACAAACTCTGTCTTAATTTTGACTCCAGCTTTGCGCTCTTCACGCATCATCATGGGTTTCAGAATTGAGAAAAAAATACCAGGCTTTACACACTTGTTCGTTTTGAAGAAGCTTTTACGAAATTTTATTGAGGCTTACATATTTTTGTGAGTTTTTGAGTAATTCAAATCCAAATAACAAATTAAATTCACGGTTACATCGGCGTTTGGTTTATTCTTTAATTGTACACATTTAACTACAATTTAATTTTCCCAAACTCCAATCATTTGAATGGAATAATGCACCAAATTACTGTTAATATGCCTAATGATTAATGTATGGGACGACTTCACAGGTTTCATAAACTTTAATTCAATAAATAAAGCATTGCTTATTTCATGACACAGCGACAATGCTTGATTGACAAAAACCTTTCTAACCACACTAACCACATTTGCTTTGCATAGTGGCATAACGCTGAATCGGTTGTTCTGCGATAAATAATCACATGTGGTTTTGGGATGCCGCTGCAACACACGCAGTGTATAGTCCTCCCATGATTACAATAGGCAACTACTCGAATTCTGAAGAAAAAAGTAGCCTGATACACACACAGAACAATCAAAAACCCAAGACATTACTGTGAAACAGGAGAAAGACATATTTGTCTTATAGCCTATGTAACTAATGTGATAATAGTATAGGCTACTCCATATTTTTCATATTGCCTTGTCATTTAATGTGTCATAACATCGTATCGCATGGTATCTTGTCCATCATCTTGTTTGAACAAGTCTGTCTGTGTGTGTGTGTGTGTGTGTGTGAGAGAGAGAGAGGCCGCTCTGTCCAGTATTAGACGCCAGATGACGCTCTTGTCTAACGGTCTCGCCCTTTTTAGCCCGGACCCTTAGATGATTTCCATACCGAGAAGTTATCGGACACGTTTCCCTGTCTATCAATAACCTCCTGGGGATCAAGCCAATTTATGACTGGCCAGGAGCTGCACGTGATTCTATTTAAACATTCCATATTTGGGCATTACACGTCGTATCGAGAAAAAAAAGGAAATTATTTCCTCCACCTATAAATCGTGCTCTTTTTTAGGACAAGCCTAACTAGAAAATACAAATAAAGCCCAATAAACAAATAAAACTTCTAAACAACTTATGTACATTTTATTAGCTGATTCCGTCTATGCCGTGACCGAGTGCTTTTTGTGAGTCTCTCCAGGTTATATTGTTTAGGAAAAAGAATGAGCTCATACGTTGGAAAGTCTTTTTCTAAGCAAACGCAAGACGCCTCCTCTTGTAGAATGCACACTTTTGGCAACTATGGAGCTCACTCTGAGTTCCACGAGTCCAATTACGCGTACGAAGGACTTGATCTCGGCGGATCGTTCAGTTCTCAAATGCCCTCCAACTCTTTGAAACGGGAGGCGATAAACACAACCGACCGTGCAAGGAGCAGTGCAGCAGTTCAGCGAACACAGTCCTGTTCAGCTCTGGGCTCTCGAAGCTTTGTAGGCACTCACGGGTACAACCCCCTCAGTCACGGACTGTTGAGCCAAAAAGCCGAGGGGAATATGGAAGTTATGGAGAAGCCCAGCGGCAAGAGCCGCACAGACCATATCGAAATGGAGACTACTTCAGCGATAAAGCAACAAACTAACTCGTCTCAGCGTCAGAACCAGTCGCAGCCACAGATATATCCGTGGATGACAAAGCTACACATGAGCCACGGTAAAGTTACGTTTAAAGTTTGTTTTAGACGAGAGGAAAACTGCACGCATCTCATCCTCCTCATTGCATCTCCTTCCTACCTTGTTTTGTCGCTCCATATTTTTCCTCTTGAGTTTTATAGGCCAAACGCAGGAAATAATAAAACTAGCGGCCGTAAATTTTATGACAAAGGCATATATTGCTCGTAAACCTGTCCTGTTACTGTGAAGAGGTGATCTCCGTTCAAATTTATGGAGAAATAATTGGTCAAGAAAAGGCAAAAAAATAAAGATAACATTTAAATTTGCGTATTATCTCTTGCTTTAAGAATTAAAAGGCGTTTACATGTTATTTAAGTGAAGTGGGATTTCAAACGAATACTTATGTTTCCGGTTAGTTGCACTCTTCACCGCTGGAGTAGTAAAGCAAAGCAAAACTATGTCAAAAATGTCAATTTGCATCCTTTAAATAGTGAGGCATTGCAATCGCAGTGTCTCTTTTTTTGCTCAGGTCTTACAATATTTTGTGTCAGGACATGTTAGAAAGCTCGTGGCCTTCTCACAGTTATGATTATGTTTCATTACGTTTGTGTTATTTCTGTGCATGACTTCTTATTTCAGAATAAATAAATATTAGCCTCATACCACCTGTCCACTGTTTTTATTTTGGATTTCATAATGCTTGATGTTTTCATATTACATTCTATGGACTGTGTTTGGTGGCAACTTCATCAAAGATTATGAAAATTAATTTCATAGTAATATGCATGAGGACGACAGTCGATAAAATTTTACAAATAGATAACCCAATATCTTTCTGATGCCACCTCAGAATCTGATGGTAAAAGGTCACGAACCAGTTACACCCGGTTCCAGACTCTGGAGTTGGAGAAAGAGTTCCATTTCAACCGATACCTCACACGTCGCAGACGTATCGAGATTGCCAATAACCTCTGCTTGAACGAGCGCCAAATTAAAATTTGGTTCCAGAACCGTCGCATGAAGTGGAAGAAGGACTCAAAGTTGAAAGTGAAAGGAGGACTATAATAACGTGGTGCACGGCTTCAGCTTGAAAATAAAGGCGGTGTTAACTTGTACTGAAATAACAAACTATTTAAAATAGATTTTCTTGTTGACAACAGTTGATGTCTTTCATTTTTCTACAACATCATGTTGTTATGTGAATATGTCCATATTTTTTATATATTTATTGATAGGGCTCCATTCCCAGAGTGCTGGAGGTGCTTATTTAAATAATGTATGAGCTTAAACTTTATTTGAATGTGCTTTTACTACAATCACTTGTATCAGTAACTTGCATAATATACCAAGGCCTGCATCCAGTTATGTTGACTTAAATGTAAGTGTAAATAATGTGGTGCTTTGCTTCAACATTCATCAACCTGCCCATTGCATTTTGATGGGACTTGTCTTTTTATTCATTGTACTTTCTAGCGTAAATACATCTATACAACTAAAATATCCACTCAAGGATGGTAAACCGCACGTCATGATGATAATGCAACAACTGTAGTGTCATAATAAACGCTGTGTATCATGTTGTCTGTCAGCCAGCAGCCAAATGGTAATTTTCTCTTGAGGATTATGTCTTGTAATCAGAACATTTTGCTCTTTTAGTGAATGTTTTTGGGGCTATTTTTTCAGATAGGTGCCTTGACTTTTGTTTCTATACACACTACTCTTGAGTAGCCTATAGGGCATGGTTTGTAAGGAGTGGCTTATTGATACCTCTCATACCAAACAAGCTACACGACCTACTTTTGTGTGAACCGCATTTGTTCTATGATCTATTATTTATTATGTTTGATTCCGAAGTTTCTCTGCTAAGCCACATCGACAATTTTCCAGTCAGTAATGTATTATTAAAATAACAAGATTTAATTGTCAATAGTGGCAATATATCAGTAAGTTTCGTTAGTTCTGGGTTAAAAGCCATCTGTGTCCAATAAAACGTCCAATGTGGTATCATTGTAAATAAACTTGAAACGTAAAGAATATCCAATTGTTAACGTTATTATTATTATTATTATTATATTTTATTATATTATATAACAGGAACAAAACAATGAATTTTTCTTTACACAATGCATTTTTGCACTGAAGGCCCGTTTGATAACTCGTGACGGAAGAAGAACTCATTCTGCGCTAATTAATATGATTTTGATAAATATTCGTGCATCCATCGAGGACCAAGTCTGAATTTGTTTACTTGCACTGATTGAACTTTAACGCTCTGGTCACTTATTTACAGTAGCCCTTAAACGGAGGCACATAAAACTTTATGACCCCAATAAACTTTTACAGCACTTCCTCTCACCCATCAAACACTGACAACTGTTTCCTTTTTTAACAAATCGGCGGAAGTTTATACAAACATTTCAAAGTGACGTTTTGGCATATAGAACCCTCAAAAACAATAAGATAGTTTGTACACTTAATCAAATACTGTCAACTAAATTATGAAGATACGAATTGCTTTTCGAAAATGCATTTGCAGTATGATACAATTGCGTTATTAATCGTACTTCGTGTAAAGCACATAATTAAAGACATTGAGAGTGAATTGCTCATACTACTACTTCATTGATGAAATTTGACATTTAGATAATGAGACATGTGCTAGTCACCCTGTGTACCGAAATCACGTAATCCAGGCCCGTGTCAAACAAAGGACACAAGAGCGATGCCTATACGAAATGCTCATTTTCGTCTGGCTTGTTCTACATGCAGGCTCTTTTCCGCTTTACTGTTGGTTTGACATTTTTAATTTAGTTTTTAATTAATTCCTACTCAGCGCTCTCAGTGTAGCCAATGTGAAATGCTATCGAACATTTTAATCTCCATATTTCTAAAGTTTATGAATGTTACTATTACATACACACTAATCTGAAAATAAAAACATGGAGCTAGTCAATTTATACTACTGTTTCAAAAGCGCTTTCATTTTAGAATCGTCTCACTCACCTATATTGAAGATTCAATGTAAATTTCCATGCTTCTTTCAATTTCTACACTCGCTATCTTGACCGAAAGGGCCACATTGCGAGTTACTGTGGTTACAATGTTGCTTTTTACACAAACCCCTCTTTTTTTTTTAGCTCTCTTGCCACGTATTTTGAAGTTTTGAGGGTTATTTATGCCAATTGCCCAAAGCATGACCAGTGAGTGGTTCAGGAAGAGCACGTGGGGTCAT